GGTTTAAATACTGCCACACCACCCTTCCTTAAAACGAGGAACAGTTTTGAGCTGTGTGTGGCTAAAATAACCAGACATTCTGCATTTTTCCAATAGGACTACAAAAAATCTTAGCAAGATGAAAAAATGGCGGATTGGCTCTGTGTTTAGCCGAGGGCCATTACCATATTTGGTAGTTATCCTGACGAAATAAATTACTGATGTAATAGATAATTTGAAAAACTGAACGGGTGGACAAATATGCCCAAAACTTAATCATTAAATATCTAAATAGCAACTCCAGTGAATAATATAAGCCTTTTTGCTCACTTAGACACTTAAAATGTAAAACACACTGTGTTAACGGATAAAAAAGTGGGTTTTTCATGTTATGTCTCCTTTAAGGCTGCTATCGAAGCATCCTGGGCCTCCATAACACCTCAGCAGTGCCACAGGCTGATTGCCTCCATGCCACACCGCACTGAAACAATCGTTTCTGCAAAAGGATTTCCGACCAAGTATTGAGTGCATAACTGAACATAATTATTTGAAGGTTGACTTTTTCTGTATTAAAAACACTTTTCTTTTATTGGTCGAATAAAATATGCTAATTTTTTTAGATAGGAATTCAGGGTTTTCATGAGCTGTATGCCAAAATCATTAATATTAGACACAATAAAAGGCTTGAACTACTTTGGTTGTGTGTAATGAATCTAATATATATGAAAGTCTAATGTTTATCAGTACATTACAGACAATAATGAACTTTATCACATTATGCAAATTTTTTGAGAAGGACCTGTATAAGGGGGTCTTTTAAAATAACCGTTCAGGTAACAAGATCACTGACACCAGGCAGGCTCAAAACTAAGTGATCTAGGGATCTCAGAGGTCCCCTGAGTCCCACACAGGTATGGTTCTCTGAGCTTTTGAAGACTCTTCTGGAGATCACTATTTGGGATGAGCTGTGCAAGTTGCAGAGGGAGGGAGGAGGGATAAATTAGAGGCAATTTACAGCGCTATCCATGGTACTGAAACAGGGTGAGCACGAGGAGCACTGGCCGCAGTGCTGGAAGATGGTGAGCAGGAGGAGTGCTGTCTATGGTTGCAACTGTAACATTACTCAAAATGTAAAAAATAAAGTAAAACTGGTTAATAGAAATGCTGTATTTACAGTATATACAGATCTTATCATAAAAAAAAGTTTAATTCATTTGTGAAGGCAAAAAATCCATTCAGAGTAGCTTTTAAATGAATTTACTAGTATAAAACAATATGTGAATCTCTGGTCTTACAGCAAACTGTCAAATAAACTCTGACTCAATCCCATTGCTGTGTGACTTCACAGTTAGTGATGTTTTGAATTGCTCTGAAGTCGTTTTGATTCTTAACGTCAAGGTTAAGAAATAAAATAACCTGGAAAAGTGGCAAAGATTGTGTTGCTTGTCCTGTCAAACCCACAGCTACAGCGGTGATGAGGCATTAAGGAACTGAGATGTGGTTTAGAACATCCTGAGACACCAGCTATTGATAATGCTCTGCCTTGGACTCTGTCACCAGTGATCCTCTTTCTCACTCATACTCATTGCTATGAATTACAAAATGATGACGAGTCACCATCTGAACCGAAGCTCCAATTCTGAGTTTAAATAGTAACTATAAATCTATGTCCATGGATGACAGCAGCCATAGCAATGATATCAGGTTTATAGTTTGAAGGCCACTTTAGAAAATACTTCAGCCTCACTCCATGACTGTCACTGTCAACATTTATGTCAGTCTTCCTTCCATGTATGATACATCTCCTCCAACCTTAGATTCATCAGTAAATGTCTTGGGATGAGCAAAAGTGGCCGTATGCTTCATGTGATGGCAAAATTGATGTATCTTCACGGTTGTGTTTAAAAGGATTTTCAGCTCCATTTGAAGTGTTTCTGAAGTTGGTTGAAGTTCTCCACCATTGGTATTTAACTAACTGTACATAGCTTCATAAACAACCTAAATGGACCCACCTCCAAAGTCTGCAGCTGTTGACCTTAAACGGTTCCAGTTTTCAACATTTCACAATTCTTAATGTAAACATTATTTTAAATGCCTTTAACCCTAATTCTAACCCTTGGTAGACAATGTTTTTGTCCATTCATTTTAATGAAGCATTAACTAAAATAAAACCAGTGAAGGTTAATCTTCTTTGAACAGTAACATTAAAGCTAAAATCTGAAGTTTTCCACACTTCAAGAATTATTTTAATATGCTTATTTCAGCACAAAAGGAAATTCCTAATGGAAACGCTCCCTGAAAAGAAAGTGCTACATTAGCTTCTTCTGGTGATATTTAAGCTTTTAGATCCTCATTGAATTCCACATAATTAATGTGAAACTAAAGACAAGGTAAAGGCTTAGGAGAAAATTTTAGATGGCAGCAAAACACTTGCTGCACCTGCCATGACCTCATCAGTTCGGAATGGCATAAGGGAATCTACAGCTCTCTCTTCACCACGACAGACTGGTACAAAGCCTGCATCACTGCAGACGCAGCATCAATCCACCTGTTGATCTTGTGCTCCATCTTTCCCTCACTTGTGAACAAGACCCCAAGATACTTAAACTCCTTCACTTGGGGCAGGATCTCATCCCTGACCCGGAGAAGGCATTCTACCATTTTCCAATTTATAAATGTTGCTTTACAACAATTTTTCTTAAATTATGTTGCCAGCAAAAACAAATCTACATCTGATTTTCTGGTCCCATATTTTTCACCAAATAAAATCAGTTAATTAAAATAGAAAATGGAATGTGCGAAAGAAAGTTTAATATTAAACCTTTCAAGGACAGGCACTGAGACACTTCAAAATATAAAGTTTAATCTTTGCATGTTTCCATTTATTTTTTGGGGGGAGATGCAGGAATGCCTGTCCTCTGACCAGAGGGTTGCAGGTTTTTGTCCCACTAAGTCTGTCACTGTCTTTGTGTCCCTGTTAAAGAGACTTCACCCACGTTGCCTGCTGATGTTAGTCAAAATAAGTGTGGAAACACTTGGATTAGAAAAGCCAGTCAGATCTAAGTCACACTGCGATTAGCATTCATGGACTCACCAATCGTTACTCATGACGGGGAAGTAGAAGCTAACTGTTAGCATTAGAAACTCCAAGACATGGCAGAGTCATGCTTCTGCTATCCAATCAGAAATGAGATGTCCAGAAATCGAGAAATAAGACTAAACCCTGCTGTCTTCTGCTTATTTCTGATCTGGCTGACTTCTAGCTCCTGAAACAGGAGCTCTAGAGCTTTTTTCTTCCCCGCAGAGATTCATTCACAGGGCATTCTAGTGATGACTTGGTCTTCAATCCTTCCTGATTCGATTTTTCTTTTTTCAAATGTATTTATTTACTAGAAGTTTTTAGATGTGTTTATAAAGATTTAGGCTTCCAATTAAGAATTCCACAAGTGATCAAATATGGTATAACTCAACCTATAAGGACTTACAAATGTCAGTTTGATAACACAGAAAAATTTACTTCTGGTAACAAACATAAAGAACGTATACTCTGACAGATCACCCAGTACGTTAATATTTTGGCTGCCTCTTTTTAAAAGGCAGGTTTGTTTCATTGGGACAGTTACTGTTCTGTCTTTTTATTGTCAGACTGTTTTTAAAATTCTGTGGATGGGAGAGAATGTAGTTTAGTATCAAACATGTTGACACAAGTTGGACATCTGAAACTTTAAATAAAGCAAAACACATATGAAGCTGGGATGTGCAATACTCTTCACAATTTTAAAACAAAACCCTGTTGCTTTACTGATTACTTGATGTAAAAGTAACTAAATTACATTACAGTTTACGTCATTAGTGACAATTGGCAGCTGTTGACAAAACCCTGTGAGCTTTACTCATGCTGAACATGTGACGCTACTCACCAACCAATCAAATATGTATATTTAATAAAGAAAATGACAACATAGTAACAGACATACTTGGATAAGTAACTTTAATCTGATTACTGGTTTGGATAGTAAAGCAACAGATTACTAGTTACTGGAAAAGGTGGGTTTTACTTTCGTCTAGCATTCATTGGGAGGAGAGAAAATAGTTTGCCAGCTAATCACAGGGAGGGCAGATGTCTACTCGTACGTCACATGTTCTAGGTTCTAGGTCTTTGGCAGAAAATACAGTTCAGCTGAAAGCCTGATGCACTAGTTTAGGACAACTAAAAATTATTATTTTCCATGCACTGGTCTTCATGAGAACTTTTAGTTTTGTCACATTCCCGTTAAACATGTCCTGTCTTTTCTGTTTTCTCTCAGTAATAAGTCTTCTGTCATACTGGGAGGTACACAATAATCTTGACAAAGGTCATGTTTGCCTGGCAAAAATAAACTTAATTACACAATAATCTGAGATCCCCAATGAGGTTCAGCCAATCTATACATCTATGCATTTGGCTGATAAAAGGCGAGAGGTGGCAAATAAGGCACAAACCCAAGTTGTAACACTGTAAGCCACACGATATCATGCCGTTCCAGTAATGACCGTAGCGCTCCAGCATCCTTGTCTGAAATCTGATCGTTGCCTGTCAGTTATAACATGATGTACCAGATGGTTTATGCAGTGTGGCCTCGGCTCTGGTGCACTTCATTAGGGAGTTGCTGCGGAGAAATGAATTAACCACTGTGGTGAGCTCGCTCTCCTCACTGCCGTAGATCTTGGTGAAGTTTATTGAAGTGAAGGGTCTTCACCTGCTGCTCATCCCTTTTCTCATTCCCTCCTTAAAAGCACTAAATAGGGATGGATGGTTTAGAACACTGAGGCTACATTTAAAGCTGTTTGTTTTCAAAGGCAGGAGGAACCTTAATAGTGTGGTTGTGTGTTACACAGAGTAAATCAGCCTCCTCTTACTTTTCTGTGTCTAAAAAGCATCTGAAACAGCCAAGAGACCCATTCTCATGCATTTTGATGTAGCAAAAGCATTTCCTGTCTATAACTGTGAATAATTTGCCTTTGTCCTCACTCTTTTCCAGGATGAGTGAGCGATACACGCAGATCAGAAGCAACGGGGCTCTACTTGTTATGGTACTTGTGATCGGTGTCTTGAAGCTGTCCGCACCAACAGAAGGAATGACAGGTGAGTCCACAGAAACAAACCAACCTGCTGGTTTTATTGCTTTTCAGAAAAAGTTATGAGTGCCATTCATCAAAATCTGGACACTTCCTCCAATAAAAATGTGTCAGTAAGGTTGGATAACACAGCTGAAATCAGTTCCCTTTCTTGTCTATCACTGAACTTCCAGCATTCTTGTGGCTCATTTTAGTCCCATAGAAATCAATTTAAATAAATAACAAATAAAACTGCATTTAAGGAGCATCTCAGTAAAAAAAAATAAAAAATTTTGAATGTCTACAGCGGTGGCCAAAAACATTGCTCATAACGAAGTTTGAAGCTTCAGTTTTTACATTGATGGTTTTCATAAACTCCGTAACATCATGAGAAATGATATGAATATGAATATGTCATTACAAAAGCCCTCTTTTTTCAAGAAGGCATTCAAGCTGTTATAGCAAATAAAAATATTATTTTCTATGTCTCTAAACAACCTTCTAACATAATATAGCTATACATATTTTGTTGAGATTAAAAATAACTAAAGAAATGATAAAGTGGTTTTCTAGCAACTGCCTAAAAACCTCCACCAGTAACACGTTTCGCTGCAAAAGCACATATTGAACCTTCTGGTTGTCAGTCTGGCCGAACCACCGCATTTCCCTGGGTCCTCCACTCATTATGCACTTGCGCATTGCGCAGATACGTGGAAAAGAAACCTCCACCAACATCAGCACAACTCTGAAGATGGTTATAGCAATTAGCCAAAACATTAGCAAAACAAGGTAAAGAACTCTTGTTTTCTGTGCTTTAAAAGAACCAAGCAAGACAAATTCTATGATCGTGTTTGTGTTCAAAAGCCTAGCTTGTTCTGTAGATTTGCCTTAAAGGCTTTAAAGCACCAAAAAAATAAAATAAAATAAATTAAAATAAAAATAAAAAACCACCATGTGGTCCATCTCCTAATCCAGAAATAGTCCATCAGGCCTGTGTCCCACCAACAATAACATTAAACATTCATTTGATTTGCTTTTCAGCAAGTGAGTGGACTCACTCACAGTTTAGCCGTAGAACAGCAATAAATAAAGAACGGTACCTAAACATCCTCCTAGAGGCACTCCTCCCAACCATCCAAGAACAGTTTGAAGATGAACAATGTCTTTTCCTGAATAATAGAGCACCGGAGCATACGACCAATGTCAGAACTGAGTGTCTCAAGGAGCAAAGTATCAAGAGGCAGAAAAAAATGCATAAATTATGACAAACTCCAAGCACTGTATAAAGAAATAGATGTCATAAATTGGAATTTTGGATTAGAAGTTGATTGACATCATGCCAGAGTGAACTGCAGAAGTCTAGAAAAGAAAGATCATATTGATATTTGGTATTAGCTTAGTTAATAGGGGTATAAATATCCCTCTGAAATTCCCAGAATTCCACTTCAGTAACTGTAGAAAAATCAAGCAGAAAGATCAAAACACAGGAAAGAGCACGTTTTGTGGAGACCAATATTAAAATCCTTTTAAAATCCATCCATTCTTTTCCGCTTATCCGGGTTAGGTCATGGGGGCAGCAGCCTAATCAGGGAGGCCCAGACATCCCTCTCCCCAGCTTCTTGGACCCGCTCCTCTGGTGGAATCCTAAAGTGTTCCCTGGCCAGCTGTGAGACATGTCCTGGGTCTTCCTTTACACTTTCTCCTGGTTGGATGTGCCCAGAAAATCTCACCAGGGAGGCGTTTAGGAGGCACTCTAACTAGATGCCCAAACCACCTCAACTGGCTCCTCTCGATGTGAAGGAGCAGTGGATCTACTCCGAGTCCATCCTGGATGACCGAGCTTCTCACCCTATCTCTAAGGAAGAGCTCAGACACCCTGCAGAGAAAACTAATTTCAGCTGCTTGTATCCGCGATCTTGTTCTTTCGGTTGACACTCAAAGCTCGTGACCATAGATCAAGCTAGCAACGTAGATGCATCTCGGTAAATCGAGAGCTTTGCCTTCTAAAAAACATTATCTATTGTTGTGTATTGAAGTGTTTAATGATGTGTTTAAATCCTTTTCAGAAAAAGCTTCTCCAGCATCCAGCTGTTGGGAGGAGTTTTCTCTCTGACTTATTTAAAGTTTTGAGTGCATCACAGCCATAAAGGCTGTGTGAAGTTAAGCATGAAATAAAAACTTTACTCATCCAAATTTAGTTGAATGGTTCACTCTCATATAGTTCCTTTTTATAACAAAAACTCCTTATCTAAGTTCTGCAAAGCCCTAACAACTTACTTCTTATTCACACAGACTAACTCAGAGCCTTTTCACCCATTAATTTCTATGTGTTGTTTTTTTGTGGTTGTCCTTATGTTGTTTTTCATTCCTTCTCAAATAATGATTCATACTCTTCCTCTTGACTGATTTCTTTATGTTCATATTTAAATATCTATTTTTCCTTTTTGTGATCGTCATTCTCTTTGCAAACGCAGTCCAGTAGACACCCACTGAACCCATAAAGAATTATTTAATTTGCCCAAAAGCAAGTTGATGCACATATTAGAGGTGGAAAACAGTTCCACGCTGGGTTTAACGGTGCTTGGTTTAGTTCGTACTATGACGTTTCCGTAACTAGAACCAAACCCTAACAGTTTTTTCTAATGATTGAAACAGCAAAGAGATGCTCCACGACGTCTCTTAAAGGCATAAACATTGTTGTAGGAAGCTGCTCGTCCCTGTGGCTAATAAAAAAAAAGCTGATTATTCTCTGCAGGCACAAGAGTCAAATAGGGATGTTAGAGAATATGAAAACAATGATAATCATTATTTGGTACATTTTGAAATTATGATTATTTAATGTGATTTCCTGTTGAGCTGGGAAAAATCGAGTTTAGGGCTGCAACAACAAATCGATAAATTTGATGAAAATCGATTACTAAAGTGTTGGCAACGAATTGCGTCATCGATTCGTTGTGTCACACAACTCTTCAAAAAGCCCCCCCCCCCTTCCCGCCCGCCCGCCGTTGCGCGTGGACCGGAGCAAGTCAGATCAGCGTGAGGGAGAGCCGGCAGGTGTTTGGAAGAGGAACATGGCAGAAGCAGCGAGACCCAAAAAAGTAAAAACTTCTAAAGTTTGGGAGCATGTTCAGTTAAATCAGGCGAAGACATTTGTTACCTGCAACGTTTGTAGGTCAGACTTAGCATGGCACGGGAGTACTACAGTGATGATACAGCATCTTTAACGCAAGCATGTCTGAATCATCAGCGAGTAAGGAGAGACCTCTGTGTCCGGGTAAGTTGAAAACTTTTCAAAAGTGATTCACCCAAGCCCCGGATTACACAGGCTAGACATGCCCTAAGCTCATAAAAAAAAGTCTATAAAATTGTAAGCACGACACAATTGGATAAGCGGGTGGGGTGGGGGGGGGGGTGGGGGGGGGGGTGGTGGACTCGCGCTGCTGCGAACTGGTTCCACCGCCACATTCCCGCAGAAACTGGTTGATCACACCGGGGCCAGACTACTAGCATGTGGTTTTACAACCACAATGTCCTCGGAAGCAAAAACGCTTTTAAAAGGGAGGGAGGAGTCCTAACTGTTGCTGCAGGCGTGTTGTGTGAGAGTGCAGTTATATACTGGTTAATATATTTTTGGGTTCAGTTGCTTTCATGTGGCCTAATGTGAGTCTATTTGGGATCATTGGAATGATCAGCAGCATTTCTTGATGTGACTTTATGGCAGTTGCCCAGGGCATCATCGCAAGGAGGATGGCATTCATTTACTTTTGTTTTATTTGGTATTTTTTCAGTCATTTTTGGAAATAGTGATTAATTTTGATTAATTCACAGCCTATGTTTAATTACATTTAAAATTTGTTGTTTGACATCCTCAATTATAATAAATGTCTAGAGATGAGATAAACAAAACAGATGAGAATTGCTGTTTAACTTGGACCAAGCATTTTTGGTCACAGATAGGTGTAGCTTAGGGTCTCTGTCTATACACCTTATAAGACAATTTAGGTGATGGCATGTTGTTTTTCTGCTATTGAACTGTTTTCTAATAATGTTGTGTTTAATAAAGTGAAGGAAGGAGAGAAATAACGTTTCACTAGCAGTTTTTAAAAATGTCCCCATGTAATCTGATTAATCGATTAATCGTGTTGAGACCCGATCCGATTCATCGATTATCCAAATAATCGTTTGTTGCAGCCCTAATCGAGTTGACACTTTAAGGAGACTTGATTCATTGATTTATGTCAGCAGGTGGCAGACCTTAGCAGTTTGGTGATTAAAACTTTCAAGATCCTTCCATCACTTCAGTCAGTCACATTAATATCAGACTAATTAGGCAACAGGCTGCATTTTTTAAAAATATTCACCCCAACATTTGTTTGCTGTATTTTGATTCATGAGGACTCTTTACTACAGTTACAACCTGACTCATTTGGTCACAATGTAAAACAGAGACTGAATCAAGTTGTTGGAGTTCGCTGGACGTTTTTTTTCATGTTTTTTTTCCACCGAGTCAACAAGAAAACAGAGGAGCCCTTGTGGAGATCTGCCATAAACTTCACTAAACTGGTGCTTTGCTTGCACCCATAGGTGCAGACACTTGGTGCAATCAAGGTCTACAAAACAACCTGACCAATGCAAAGGCCTAATGCCCACACACACACACTCACCCTTGCACCCACAATAGTGTGGACATCCTTTGCCTGTGGGACAAAAAGCTGAAGTGCCTTTTCTGAAAATATGTATTTTAAAATGAAAATAGTTCATTTCAGGATGTTGAATTGATGCTCAAAGCAGCAATGAATGTAAAATAACTTGTTTGGTTGTTTATTTGAAAATTGTTAATAAAGATCTTGTAAGGTCAAGCTCCTCCATATATCACTGAACTGTTAAAGTCTAAAGCTTGGTTTATGCTTGACGCATTCACTTTCCGCGCAGTGATGCGGCTCGCTGCTGGAACGCGCTTCACAACTCGCAGCGTTTATGGTTTGTGCGGCTTGTCTCTGCGGTGAGCCAATATTCTCCCAAACTGAA